CTCAAGCGCCCCGTAGAGCTCTCAAGCGCGCTACCGGGTAAAAAATGTGTTCGAAGAGCGCATTCAAGTGCACTGCCCGTTTTCAACACAAACGTAGTTTATTAAAATTGGCATAACTTGAGCTACAGAGCTCCAAATTGAGTGAGGTTTGAGCCTATGTGAAGCTAACGTATAAGATTAATCTTGTAAAATATTAGAGCCATTTGATAAGTATATCAATACCAGTTTTGGATTGATGTTGATGCTACAATTCTGAAAGTTCGGTTTCGTCAGCTACCTTGCGAGTTGAATAACTCTGGCTATACTTAACCACATGGCTATTGTAATATCTTTTAGAAAAGCCCTAAAGGTATAGTTTATCCTAATGAAAAGTTTAGAGTTAATGATTAAGTGTAGTGGTCTTAATTTAGAGAATGTTACATGATTACAATTACGGTATGGTTATATTAAATACAGTTTTCTTTTAAAAAGTAAATGAACAATGTTTAAGAGAAAAAGTTTATCCGTAACGTGATTGTGACTGCGCTTAATATCATAAAGCAATGATAACAAACCAGTTCTAGAACGGAGAGTTACACTTTGGGGATTTAATAATTGTATAAGACATATTTTAAGTTAAACTTTTGATTGTGGTTTTACGTTTTGAAGTTTTAATATTTACATTAAATATATTTTTGGCATAAGAGTATGATAAATTTAGCCTTGCACTTATGAGTAACATTTTTCTAAATTTACTTTAGTTTAGTTTTTGCAATAGTTACGGTCTTAATAAATAATTAAATGTGATTTTTGGCAATTCTGTTATTATAAGAATATTTTTAAAATTATTAGAAATTTGGGGGTGTTACAAAAAACTCCACAATCAATCAAGCTCAAAACACATCTCAAACTTTAATCCTCAAAATATGTCAACTTCTTTGAACATATGGATCATGCTTGATGGGCCATAAATTGATTGAGACTGGATTTCTTAAATCAACTCATTAACTACTTGAGTCGTACTTAATGGGCTAAATCTAAGTCATCATTCTCTATAGCTAGGAAAATATTCATACACAAATCTACTTCGCCTCCACTAGTAAAGATGATCTCAAAATGCCCAAGTGGCGCCTTTTCTATTTCTACATCAAGTAGGGTTTTAACTTTTGTAGGAATTTCAAACATGTCTTCTAATTTATTTCCCAGTCGCTCCTTGATGATGATGGACGCCATATTTTCATAGTTTCTTTGATTTACAATCATGATGCTAATTGGATTTTCTTCATCTTGTTCTCTATCAAAGGCATCAAAGATTGGATGACCTTCACAATCTTGTTTTTCATCAGAATCATCATATATGGAACTATAATCCTAAACTAAGTGTCACAAATCTTAATAAAATTGAGAAGAGGAATGGTTCAATGTCATACTTTCTAATTCAGTAAGAGTTAGAAAAAACTATTGAGTATTTGAAAAAGGGGTTTGAAGTCAAAGATTTGGGTGAAACCAGACTTTGCCTTGGTCTAGAACTTAATCATAAAGAAAATGGGATTATTGTCCATCAATTAGCATGTATTGAAAGATCACTTGAATGTTTCAACATGGATAAGGCTAATCCATTAAGCACCCTTATGGCCGTAAGGTCTCTAGACCCCTTCAAGGATCTATTTTGTACTAAAGAATCTGTTGAAGAGATACTTGGACCTGAAGTACCATACCTTAATGCAATTGGGGCTTTGATGTTCTTGGCTCAAAATATGTAATCAGATATCGCTTTTGCGGTAAATTTATTAGCCCAATTTATATCTGAGCTAACTTGAAGACACTAGAATGGAATCAAACATATTTTTTGATATTTCTGAGGAAGCATAGATTTGGGATTATATCATTCTAAGGATTCACTATGTTTGGTTTAGTTGGATATATCAAGAAATTCTTGGCAATCCTTTGTAATATCTTAACTAGTAACCTCTTGGCAATTCTTTGTAATATCTTAACTAGGAAAATCAAGAAATTCTTCTCATTTATATGCAATATGTTTGTTTCTCAACTGATATCCTTCCAATATCAATGCCATTAAATATTTATGTCGTCTAGTTTGACACTTCCAAGCTATTTATAAGTGAACCTTTCTCCATCATAGGATGAGACAGCGGAGCTAGAAAAAATTTTAGGGAATGAATCACAGTGTATATATTATTTTTTTAAAGTTGTAGCTATATTTATATGACAAAAAATAGAAATAATGCTCACAACTAAAGGCTTCTATGATTTTTGAGGGAGGCGATCACTAGTTTACAAGAAAGGTTTACATAATATTTTTAGGGTAATATGCCTCTCCTGTTACAGGAGAGGCCAAATTTTTTCTACTGATACATAAAAAAACGTGTCATCTAATTTTTTTCATTTTTTGATTTCCTAAATGTTGAAGTCCACAAGACTTTTGTATCACCAACATGAGAAAATATACTTCCTGTTATGGGTGTTAACGGGCCGAGCCGAGCCGAGCTTTGCTCTTAAAAGGCTAAGCATGTGTTTAAATGTGTCAGCCTGACCAAGCATGTTACCTGTTATAAATATAATTATTGGCCAGTGGCCTGGCTTATTTACAAAAAATAAAAGCCTGATTTAGCTTGTTAGCCTGTTTTAAAAAAATAAGACAATAAAATTTTATCAAAACAGAATATATAATCAATAACACTAGTAATTTCATAAATATTCATAAATTCAAGGTATATCCAAACAGCATAATATAGAACAAAATCAATCAAAAACTCTGTTTAACCTATAATGCACGGACACGAACACGGGACACGGGACACGACACGACACGCCGACACGTTAATTCTAAAAAATGTCATATTTCGACACGTTGGGACACATTTTGATATTAAATAAAATTTTTAATATATATAATATAATTTATATTTAATACATATAAGAGTCCATAATAAGTCATATACCCAATTAAATATTTAAATTTCATAACAAAAATATAAATATAAATAATTTTTCGGTACTTTGTTAATTTTTCATGTCAAATTTCATAATAGAAAAAAATTAACTTATAAATTATTTCTTTTATATTTAGTTAACAAAATAAAATTAAGATTTAAAATAAAAAAAACGTGTCCGAGCGTTGATCGCGTGTCAGAAAAAGTTGACTGCGTGTCGAAAAAACGTGTCGGAGAGTTGACCGTGTGTCGGACACGTGTCCGTCTATGGAAGTTTGTCAGAAAAAAAGAAAAGTGTCGGCAGAATTATGATCACAGAATTTGGCAAGATAATCTTTAACAGTGAAGATATTTAATATTAAAAATAAAGATAAAATAAAATTAGAAGAAGAAATAGAAAATTTTTCCTGACTCTATTGGTTGTAATTGTATTCTTTTTGTCAGGAATCAGTCTTTTGAATCTGAGCGTTTCCGTGCTTTGAAGTGTTTAACCAATAAAATGGGATGAAATGGATTGATGAGAAAGAGAGGACTATTACAAGTAGCATAAAAAATATAAAATAATAATAATAATAATAATATACTAGGCCGGCCTGAGAGACTTTAAGGCCGAGCTTTTGAATTGAAGCTTGAGACTTTTTTATTAAATGAACTTTTATACAAGTTCAAGTCTAGTGCCAACAACCAATTTTAAACATATAACCTCGTGGCTTCGCAAGCCGAGTCAAAAGACCGGGCTCTCTCTTTTAGGAGCCTACTTCCTGTTACATAACCCCGTATTTTTTAACCCATCTTTTATGTAAATGGTCTCATTTCCGAACGGACCAGCTTTCACCTCCATTTCTGGCAATTCTCTTTGTTCAAGGTCATTTTTTTTGGGCAATATTAATCTTATGCAACAGGATTTTATTTTTATCTTATGTCCATACATCGATACTTGTGCTATTTCTTTTTTATTTTTTTTTCTTCTCTTTTGTGGTGGGCCCCACTTCAAGTTAAGTGTGCATGGGATAAAAAAAAATTGCTGTGACATAAGACTACAATTACCTTTTTTTTTTTACCCTAGTTTATCCAAACCTTCAGGAGGTCTTTTTTTGTTCTCTGGTTCTCTTCTTTCCTATTTTTTTCTTCCCCTAATATATTCTCTCTCTTTTATTTCTTCTTCTTTATTTGTTAACACTACTCCTTTGTGAACTCCTTGTGATATTTGTACAAATGAAGATGGCATCCCTCTGTTTCAATTTGAGTTTTGTTCTAAAATCAGTGGACCCCTAATGATTTGCACGATGAAGATAGTCTTTCTCTATTTGGAAATGCATAATAATTCAATTGTACCTCAAAATTAGAGAGCCGAAAACTTTTTTGGACTTTAGTACAATTTTTCAGATAGGACTTCGCTGTTGTGCCATACCCCTGTAACGTTTTCGGGGCTATATACGAGGTAACTCTTAACACTGCAATAGTGTCAAACAGCTACTGATTGTGCTTTCCTTCTTTATAAACTTTCAAATAATATAACAACATGAAAAAAAAAATTCACAAAATCATAAAATGGGGATTCATTACCCATAATTCTCTTTACAATTAAGTCCATTCTGTTGCTTTCTTGGCATCAACTCAATTTTATTAGAGCACAAGAGTGGGGTATAGACTTGGTTCTGCTAGTTCAGTTACTGAATCCATTCACACTTGTTTTGTAGATTGATCTTTTTTCTAACAATTTATATGCATAAAATTGTACTGAAGAATAAGCAGAGTTTGAGGAGTGATCTAAATAGTCTTAACAGCAAATTGATGTCGCCATCTAATACTTTTGCTGCTGAGGAAACTAGATATGTAACCGTTTTGTAAAACTTTCTTCATCAATTCACAGCATAATCAAAAATCAGTTTATGGTTATTCCCTTGTTAAGAATTAGCAAAAGGATCAATGAAACTATAGTGCAAAATCTCTAAACATAAACATGGAGGAATTGAGGACACTCATTTATTTTCTTCCACTTCAATATAATATGAGGGGTGAAAAAACACACCATACATTATTAATTTTGCACGACAGAAAGCTCTTCAATCCACTAAGCCATGTCTGTCACAACTTCAATCTCAGGAAGAAAAAAGACATAGGAAACCATATTTAAGCCTACAAGAGTTTCAAATTGCCGTCATACCAGTGCCTAATGTACAACATGTTGTTATGGGAAATGTATATATATTTTTCAGTGACTAAATTCAAATTAGAAGATCAAATTCTACCATCCTATACCCCACACAATCCTCTTTGTAGACAAAGCATATGTACATCATATGAAGCAGTGAGTTGATTGGTCGTCTGAGTTGGTCATTCAGTAGTTACTTGATCAAAGCCAAAAGTGCAACATTGCCTGTTGTTCATAGAAATTTGCTATCATTAATTCTTGTTTCAAACGAATAATTCAGAAAAAACACAGATAATTATTGACTTCACCAAAAGCCAGTCCCAACATTTCCCATCCCTGATCATCACATGTAAACTAAATATCAAATGTTAACTTGGGTGTATATGAGAGAGCCACCACTTCCCATTAAACCCCTACTAAGAAAGCAAGGGTGTGGAAAATCCTTGTATCCTTATCCTTATCCTTGCATATTTGCAAAAAAGTTGTTTCCTGAATTCAAATCTCTGACCTTTCAATTACAAAAAAACAGTTTTACCAATGCTTTGGCTTACCCTCTAGGTGTATCCGAGAGAGAATCAAAGAAAAAGATCCCTGTAGCAACAAGAATTTTTTTTTTCCCATAATAGAAAAGGGGGTTGGGGGGAACATATATTATAGTTTACCTCTTGGAGAAGACCCAAAGGCACATCATCCATAGGGGTGGCTTCTTTGGTTTTCCAGCTTCTTATCTCTGACTGTATAAATTTGAGTTGACTTTGCATGTCTTTCAACAGCCTCAATTGCTCTTCACCATCCCCTTCATGAGTAATCTCTTGCCTTGCACTATTTCTCTCCCTCTCAAGCCTCTCAATTCTCTGATGCAACTTTTGAAACTCAGCTTGAGCATTGTAATCCACACCCTCCCTTTCTTTTTTCTGACCAATGATGGTCATCATATCTTTAGGACAAGGTGTTTTGATTTCACGGTGTACTCTAAGCATGCCCTTTTGCTTGTCTGCATCATGTTTAACAAGTGATTCAACAATTCCATCAGAGACAGAGTCCGGTTTTGTCAATCTGTTCTCTGCTTCAGAATTCCATTTCTCAAGCCCTTTTTTTCCATGTTCACTGACTTTATGGTTTTCACTAGTTTGTGGGACTTCAAATACATCATAGACATTAAGCAAGCAAGGAGAATTAGCAACTTCTTTCTTCCTATCATGTGTACTTTCACCATGATTTACTTTATCTGAATTAATAGAGGGAAAGCTATCTGTTTGGTCACGGGTTATCTTAGTGCTAGCTTGTGAAAATATTGAACAAGACCTCCCTCTTCTACTACACAAGTTTGCACTCTTTTCTAATTCTGTACAATCTGAAATCACTCTCACTTGTTCATCTAACAACTTTATCTGATTCCAATATGAATCAAGGGTTTCACTGCCAAATGCAAAGTCCTCTGACTTTCTTGTGAAATCCATGCTTGGTGGAGTAACTTCATGGTCAATGCTTTCTCCCACTACCTTAGGAATCACATCTGAAACTGGAACTGGACTAGGAGATCTTTCCCTCTTTCTAGGAACTCTAATAGAATTCTTAAACGGAATAGGGGGCATTGAATGAAGCCTTCTTACAGTGCTACTTTGACCCTTTTCTCCATTTTGTTGATCAATTGTATTCAAAAGCAAATCCTCAGGGAACTCAAACTCAGTGGCATTTAGATCACACCCCAAGCTCAGGAGTTTGTGCTTGTAAGCTTGGACTTGAAACTCAAGAGACGCAATTTCCATTTCCTTTTCATACATAAGCTCTTCAAAGGCTTCAAGAGATGCCTCAGCATGCCCCATTTTCTCCTCTGCCATTCTCTTATAGTGACTAGCTTCCATCTTCACCGCAGCCTTTTCTCCTTGCAAACGCAGTATCATGTCCAATGCTTCACTTGCTGCTGTAGCTGAGGCTTCTCTTTCCTTATCCAACTCGGCATATAGCTTCTGCAGAAGCAGCTGCTGAGCCTGAAGTGTCTCCTTCATGGCTGTTACATCACTTTTAGATTTAGCCATCACAGAACACGTGCTCTTTTCTGCCATGCTACGCCTTGATTAATTGTTGTATTGAAGCAATCACAAATCACAAATCCCTGAACACAATAGAAGTTTTATATCACAATCAGCCATAAAATTGAAAACCTTTAAACGGTGGTGATGGGGAAGAAAATCCTTAGAGGACGAGCCTGCAGCAGTAAACTTAATTACTCCTTGTGACTTGATGGTCACGGTCACGGGTTTTGAGTCAAGGAAATAATCTCTTTGCAAAAATGAAAGAATACGACTTGTAACTGGATGGTCACAGATTTTGAGTCAAGAAAATAATCTCTTTGCAAAAAATGAAAGAATACAACTACGTGCAATTGATTCTAACCCTTATCCTTACAAGTCGGGCAACCTTGTACACCGAGATTTGACCTTATTACTATATAAATAAATTCAATATTGAGATAAAAAAATGAAATGAACATGTTGTCACTAAGGCAGGCATGTGAGCATAGTAATAAAATAAATACACAAAGAAGACCAAGATGACCAATGAGGTGTTTGGGGCTAGTTTTGAAAGTCTAGTCCATGTGCTATGTCTCTGAAACGAAATTTTGGGTATTAAAAAACAATGCTTATCAGTCAAATTCCCACGATATCAATTAGACGAATGGCTTACCACAACGAGATTAAAGAGGAAGAAGATAATCAATTTGGTGATCGCAAACAAATATATGATCCTTAACCAAGAATAAACCGATGAAAGAAAGCAACTACTTACCACAACCAAAAATCTCAACCCGATTCAAATCAGAAATCCGTTTGCAAGAAAGAAAAGAGTAAGCACTTCAAGGGTGTTTGGCTCGAAAGAAAAAGAAGGGAAAAGAAAAAAAGAAAAATGATGACTTTGCTTAGAAAAGGGAGGGGAATGAACAAGAACATATAAAAATAGAACACGCTTTTCTAACAAGGAAAAAAACTTAAGACCAAATCTAGTATATTTCTACCTTCCCAAATGAGCGTGTGAAAGCATTAATTGTGAATGAGACAAACATGGAAAACTAGCTGCTTCACAGCGTAGCCAGAACTAATCTGCTGCAAAATTGGCTCCCAATGAATACGCAAAAGGGCCAGCTTCTGTGTGTGCCTGAATTCAAAGCCAAGACTTAAGAACTAAGAAGAAGAAAAAAAGGGAAAACTTTTTTTGTGTGCGTGTGTTGGCTTTTTGTACACGAACAGCATCTAGTAGTTACACATATCAAGGACACACGAGAAAGAAGAACAAAGAGTGGCTTTCGTTTTTTCCAGTTACAGACAAAATCATGGTTCGTTAACGTTTTTGCCTTTGTCTGAATGCTCACGTTCATTTATGATCTAGTCTTTTTTTATTATTTTTTATTTTTGTACATGGCTTTTTCATTCTTTTTTTAAGTCTCGGCGGATGATTAATCGTTTCCTTGTAGGGCCCATGTCTTTCTTGTTTAAGCGCTCGTTACTTACCTACTTTTGTCTACTTTTTGTTTTTTATTTTTTATTTTTAAATTTTTCCATCATGTAAAGTCGTAGATATTTTAAGTGAAAAAACAGAAAAAAAAATAAAAATTATCACCCTTATATATTTTTATGTGAATGTAGCAAAGAATTTTTTTTGCAATATTTTAAAGGGAATATAGTTTTGCATATTGTGTTAGATAATTTATCTCATACAACTCACACAAAATTTGATGGAACTCGCTTATTTTCTTTCTCTCTCTTCTCCTTGATAGGTCCTACTCATTTTTTTATGTATTGTATGAGATAAATACTATTTTAAAATACTGTTTCATGCTCTTGTTTTTTAATTAAATTATTTACTATGTTTAAATTAAATTTGAATTAATTGAATTTTATTATTCATCTATCATATTTATTTAACAAAATAATTAATTTATTATTGGTGTGATTTTTATATTTACGGATCATTTATTAATGAAATATTATTGGAGATAACGAAACGTAGGACTTAAGCATGTTTTGTTTTAGACTAGAATAACCGTAAATAGAATAACAAGGATGAGGCTATTCACATTTTATTTGTTATGAAATGAAGGAGGTGAGACGAGGAAAAGAGTGTTACAAGAAAAGGAAAGAAAAAGACAAAGAGAAAATTCAAAATATAGGATTACAATCATAAATGAGTGTAACATCCCGAGCACTGACGAGGGCGGGGAGTAGGGATGAAAGTGGACTAGGCTGGGCCGAGCTTTGTCCCGAAAAGCCCAAGCCTGTGTCAAAAAATTTCAATTTGGCCCGGCCCAAGCCTAGTATGAGTCTAACTGTTAGCCTGGTTTGGCCCGTTTATGAAAAAAACAAATGGCCTGGCTTGGCCCGTTAGCCTGTTAATTTTTAACTTCCAAGCAGAACCATGAATCAACTTTACAAAGTACTCAAATTCTGTTGCTACACCAAAAATCATAATTTCAACGTCCAAACAGAATCATGAATCATAACAAAACTAATACAATATGCATTTAAGTCATTTTCAAAAGCAAAATGCTCAAATTAAATAACATATATTTCATCAGATCCAACAAACAAATCCATACTATGTAAATTAAAATAACTACATGAATCCAACAAACACATCATAATGCTTGTAGTAAGTATAACCTCTGCCAAAAATCTTTTAATATATTCATATACACAATCTTACATGTTGAGATGTTGGTTCCTCCTATATAAGAAATAAAGTAAGATTTTTATTAAAATATAATTGAATATGATTAAGTTATAAATAATTGCAATTGATTAAATTTATATCTTTTTTTTTTCTTCAAGTCATACTTAAAGGCCGGCCTGTATGCTTAAAGGCCCGACCTTTTTATTAAACAGGCTTTTTTAAGGCCCGAACCCGGTCTATTATACAAAATATACTACGTCAGGTCTAGCCTGATAAAGGCCGAGCCGTAGGCCCCTGTAGGCCGGCCCGACCCAGTTTCACCCCTAGCGGGGAGTGATCGACGGTGCAAAGAGGCATGGACAAGGAGCGGCTCCTGACAAGCTTCCAGCGAGGGGTTACATGCATGAATGAATCGAATCGACACCCGAAAGAGAGATTCCAAAGGTTGTGCAGGTATAAGGCTGCACAGTTTGAGATAGCTTATAAGAAGTAATTGGTACTACCTATGCTAACAAGATGCATCTGCTTTTCGGTAGCCCGGATCGGAAGAACTCCAGTTAAGCGTACTTGACTTGGAGCAATTATGGGATGGGTGACCTATTGGGAAGTTTTCTCGGGAAGTGTGCGAGTGAGGAAAAAACACACTGAAAAGTCTCGTGTTAGTACGTGAGGATAGTCATTGATTCTTAAAGCGGTCGGGCATTACAAGTGGTATCAGAGCAGGGCCTCTCTTCCAGTATGGTGTGGTTTGAGGACGAACCAGACGAAAGCTGGTGGGCATGTAACATCTCGAACGCTGACAAGGGCGGGAAGTGATCGCCGGTGCAAAGAGGCACGGACAAGGAGCGGCTCCTGACACGCTTCTAGCGAGGAAGGTTACATGAACGAATGAATCGAATCGACACCCAAAAGAGAGGATTCCAAAGAATGTGCAGGTATGAGACTGCACAGTTTAAGGATAGCTTATAAGAATTAATTGGTACTACCTATACTAACAAGATGCATCTGCTTTTCGGTAGCCCGGAACGGAAGAACTCCACAGTTAAGCGTGCTTGACTTGGAGCAATTCTGGGATGGGTGACCTCTTGGGAAGTTTTTCCAGAAAGTGTGCGAGTGAGGAAAAAGCACACTGAAAAGTTTCGTGTTAGTATGTGGGGATAGTCATTGATTCTTGAAGCGGTCGGGCGTTACAAGTGGTATCAGAGCAGGGCCTCTCATCCAGTACGGTGTGGTTCGAGGACGAACCAGGTGGAAGCTGGTGGGCATGTAACATCCGGAGCGCTGACGAGGGCGGGGAGTGATCGCCGGTGCAAAGAGGCACAGACAAGGAGCGACTCTTGACAGGCTTCCAGCGGGGGGTTACATGCATGAATGAATCGAATCGACACTCGAAAGAGAGAGATTCCAAAGGCTGTGCAGGTATAAGGCTGCACAATTTAGGATAGCTAATAAGAATTAATTGGTTCTACCTATGCTAACAAGATACATCTACTTTTCGGTAGCCCGGAATGGAAGAACTCCACAGTTAAGCGTGCTTGACTTGGAGCAATTCTGGGATGGGTGACCTCGTGGGAATTTTTTCCCGGGAAGTGTGCGAGTGAAGATACATCTGCTTTTCGGTAGCCCGGAATGGAAGAACTCCACAACTAAGCGTGCTTGACTTGGAGCAATTCTGGGATTGGTGACCTCCTGGGAAGTTTTTCCGGGAAGTGTGCGTGTGAGGAAAAAGTACACTGAAAAGTCTCGTGTTAGTATGTGGGGATAGTCATTGATTCTTGAAGTGGTTGGGCGTTACACGTGGTATCAGAGCAGGGCCTCTATACACTATAATAGCCCCAGCCTAACTAATTAGTAAATTCCATGTAACTAAGTAATTAAATATGTATTAGCGAGTAAAATTAAGTATAAGGCCTAAGTAAATGAATTAGAGTCACTTTGGAGGTAAAAAGTGCACTCAGTAAAAATGGGTGTAGGAAAAAGTACCCAAAATATAAAAAGTAAAAGTGGAAATATTCCCAGAAAAATATTCCAGACCTTTGGGTAAAGTTCGGTGGTGAATGGAGTTGAATAGATAAATGATCTTATACCCGGTTAAGATAACTTAAGTTAAGTTAAATGAAAAAACACTAAAACTCACCTCATTCCCTTCTTCTTCATCGTGGAAAAGCTGAGAGAAAGGGAGAGAATACCAAAATTGGGAAGCAAACCCTAGTTCCATCATTTCTCAACCGATTTGAGTGATTCAAAGGCCTAAACCACTTAGAATCTTCCTCTCATCCTTAATCCTAGCTTAGTTTTGAGTGGGGAGCATTGTGGTGTGAGATTTTTCTCCCCAAAATTTCGCCCCCTTTGAA